CCCCCCCACACACACATTTTCTCCAATATCGTCACAGTACATCTTTGTCAGAAGCCGAACCTGAAGGAGTTTTTCAGTAACATATTGCAGTCACTTTGAACAGGCCGTTCTCGCGCAAAGAGCATTCGAGACACGTCGGGAAAACAACCCACAACTTCTATGAACATGATGCTCAGTGAACGCGAACCAACGTGCGTATGGCCATTGACTGTAAAGTCAAAACCCTGCGTCATATTATATTTAAACTTCGTCTTAATACTGATAATGGGTGCTTTATGGCGTGCAAAATTAACATTAAATCCCCTAGTAGAGATATCTCTATTGCGCAACAGAGATATGTCTATTAAGTTACCGCTTCCGAGGTCAGCAGGTCGCCCTCGACTTTTGTGTTTAAATCTATCATCATGAGGGGTTTTGAATCTGCGTCTGTGTCGCAGTACGTGTACTCCCGTGGTTGTTTACATTAGGAAACTTTACACAACCCTCTGGCTCTTTGAAACTTTCTGCGTTATGTTACCATGACCTTTCTGTTGACCTAGTGTGTGGGACCGGAAACCATAATAGAGATATCTCTATCAAATCAGGACGTACAATAGAGATATCTCTATCAACTTTACACGCCATATTTACATATAGGTTTCAAAATAACCTGGCACTTGACGGCTGAGTTCTAAAGGGGCGGAACCAGCCCCCGGCTGTGAGATGGTCCAAAATAACCCTGCTCTTTTGGTACAGACAGCCTTGACAAAGTGCCTGCATCCACACATTCACTCATGATCAGTTACGCCACAGAAGTAGGTTTCTTAATGAGTGATTGATCGATCGATCGATTATTAATCAGTAAGAAATATCTGATATCTAATAAGTATACGGTTCACATTCGAGAAAGAATACGCACTCCAAACCGAACTGAGGAGTGAAACAAGGAACGTTTGTAACAAATTTTCTTAAGAGTCCCCAATTATTCCAGGAGAGGTCAGCTTCGCCGGGAAATAGACAAAAGCTTCAATTGTTTTCGATACATTGAACCAGTTACTGGGTCACTGTCGATTGAGGCCTGTCTTAAATCGTACCGACATATCCACACGGACTTTTAAAATACTGTATATGTCCGACACAGTAGTGAACTGTTTTCTGGGTGCCATTGCAGATAACTATTCCTATAACATGCTGAACAGCGGAGGCAATTTTGCTCCGAAGCTAATGGTCAGCAAGCTATACAGATCTCCCCACAGTCAACAACAGCGGCTACTGGCTTCCCCCTTGACTCTTCCGGGAGTTGAAGTTCCGACCCTCTAGGTTTCCTTGCTCATCCCCATCACCCCCCCCCCTTCAACTTACCCTTGATACATCGCCCGTGTCTCGGTAAACACAGAGCGCTTGTCAGTCTTGTCAAACACCGCGATTGCAGCCGCAGAGAGTACGCCAAAACGCAAAGTAAACAAGGGAGACAGAACGATTACGCCCGCGTGTATTTACTTTTAATCGCCTTGTGATACCTCCATCTGCTCATTCCTGGGCCGTCTTCCTCAATTCGAGGAAGAATGACTCCTCAGAGGGATTTGAGGAGATGCAGGGACTTAAGACGCTGTAATGAAAGCATGATATCAGGTCAGGAAATGGAAAAAGACAAAAGGCAGTTCGGAATCGCTTAATTAAGACTTGGACTTTTACGATGATTTCCGAATGAAGCCACTTTGCAACTGTAATTTGCACTGTAAATGGTAACAAAGCCTCTTGCGAGCTTGCCGCAAAGGGCTATTGCCTACGCATATCAACATGTCTTATCTAAAAAAAACTACCTGTTCCCTATGTTTACCAATTCCACAAACCAAAGGAAAATTCAAAATTTCGAGGACTGAGTGTGGATTTTGATGGGATATTATTATTTCATCGTTCCAGAGTTGGATCCACTTGATATTTTGAACAATTCTGACCGTTTCTGAATTCTATAACTTGTGTTGTTTGTCTTCTTTTGTCCTGTATTGTTGGGCATGCAATGGGCATGCAAAAAAAACAACAAAAACAAACAAACAAACCCATAAGCTTCGTCATTTAGGATGATACCTCTAGGGTGTGGAAATAAATGTTACTGAACTGCATTGAACTGAACTGATCACAGCAACAATGCTAATGACATATATACCTCTCTCGTTTCACTACTTAAGTTATTATCTTCTTTTTGAACTGCGTAGTTTGCAGAGGCGTTTCCTACGCCAAAGCCCCCGCACGCAGTGGCGCGCATACCATAAGTGTGTCACAGGTATTTGTATCCAATTGGCGTGCCTTCCCAGTACATAAAGCGTACTTGCAAATAACTGAGACAATTTAGACCAGCTACGAAATCACAATTTAATTATAAAATTGTCACGACAACCAACTTAGAACTAGAGCCCAGCCAACAGGAACAATCAAAACAACCGGGGCTTCTCGGCTGGGCCTCCCCTCCTTGCATGCCTCTCTCATCGCTTAAAATTTCATCAAGGAATCCCTAATCCTATCCGAGGTAGAAAACCGGAACATGTATACAAAGAATTACCGGCCACGGTTCAGCAATAGCAATCTGGTCTCAGAAATCCCTGGGATCTGCATCCTTATGCCGCCACTGATATGTGTCAGTGGAGGGATTCGGAAAGAAGCAAGTAGGGGAAGGAGGGGAAAAAGTAATTTCGCTAATTGAATCGCGCTAGAAATTGCAGGAAGCGCGCGCGAATCGCAAGTGCATTAAGCGATGGCATATTGTCGTGTCGTCTGCCAAGCGATCTCTCAGCCCCGCCAGTTAGGCTCTTCCCATGCCAGGGTGGTGGTTCTGTTTTGTGTTTATATCTGTCGTGCACGGAACCGTTTTATGGGAGGAAAACACTGATGGCACAGTTGGATGAGGTGCTAGATTGTGGTCTGGCGAAGGGTTGGGATTGGACGCGCGGATTACTGGTACCTCCGTACCTCATCGTCTGATGACTGACGCGATTCAGACGGAGCTCCGCAAACCAAACACTGGAACGGGCCCAACATCGGTGGACGGTTCTTGTGTCATGGAGCAAACAAAAGTAACTTTACATCTGACAAACAAACCAAATTTCCCCATTTTCTCCTCACCTTGTTTGATGATCAAAATCCACCACAACAGTACGAACAAAATAAAAGAAAGTTGTCTCCTCGTACACGGCAATTGTTGCAACCTTTACTCAGTAACTGCCAGATATTACCATCGATAGGACCGTAAGAGCATTGACCTTTGACATGGATTACTTGAACCAGATTCTCGGATAAAGCAACAAGAGGAGACATTCATGTATTTCAGAACCTTGTTGGTAAGCCTCCTTGTGTTGCAATATCATATCGTATCATCATACGAGCAGTTTTACGTTCACTTCAGAAAATTTCAAAATTTGTACACGAGGTCTCCTGTTGGTACTGTAGTGATAACGGGCCAACATCCGCTATTCGAATTCTATTGACGATACATCGAACCGAAACTTTGGCCAAAGCACCAGAAGACAGAAAAGGTATAGCAGAAGAAGTAGTGATAAAATTCAGTCTTTGAAGAGTTTAAGAAACGAAAATCAATGTAATTTGGGAGCAACGATGTCTCGGAGTAGCTCCCCGCAGGAAAAATTTGACACCCATCCTACGAGCGCCATCGGCGACCGTACCGCCGGGTAGTGCAAGCGGGATCCGGAGCCTGGTGTTGACGGAGCAATTATCAGCGGCCCACGGCCCCCGCCGGACCACTCGGTGTTTCTTTCTCTCGCGTCGAGTTCCCGGTGGTGGGATGAGCGTCGTTGTCCTTTTTTTTTTTTTTTTTGCTTTTTTCATTCCTTCCTTTCGACGAGGCGATAAGACGCGGAAATAAATTATTCAATGTGTCAGGTGGCTGCTGCCCGTTGATCATCACTCATGTTTTGCCAACTCAGACAACGCCGCCATGAACATGGCTCACTGGCAACAGAGACATGCAGATCTAAGGGGTTTTGTATTGGGTGAAGTGTTCTGCGTGGATGGCTGGGCTAATAAACTCCATTTTACGGTGACGCCGTCTCGGCGAACGCAGCGCTTGTAGCCGTCTGCCAGCGCCTGCAAAGACTATTTTGGTAACCATGATCCATGCCACACACCGATTACGTACACAATTGTCGTTTGGAGGGTTTCCATAATTTCTCAACGCTAACTTGTTCTCAATCCGCTGGCTTCCTTGTGGCGATGAGCCACTGCCCGTTCGAATTAACCGAGTCACCATTCGACAAAGTTGGCAAATTTCGATTGGCAGGAGCATTATCAACCTGGATATTTTGCCTGGTACCCAGGATGTACATTATACATATAATTTACCAGATAAGATGGTGGTTAAAAAAAAATTAGGTGCAGATCGAACTGAAGAAAGGTTTTATATAGGTTAGAGCATGAGAGGATGGGAAGCACAGACGTTGCAAAGCATTGTGGGTGATTTGCCCTTCCTTGTTTCCCGGGTGTCAAGCAATTGGCAGTCGTGGCCCTCCTGGTAGTGGATCATTAATTTTGAATATCCCGTAAAATGGGATGTTGATGAGGTATGGTATGATGGTTTAGGTTTTCAATCAGCACTCGTTTTAATAGTTAAGTCGTCTGTGAGTGTACGGGGAATCCAGCGCCGAAAGTGATATCAAAATCAAACTTACTCGAACGCATGAAATTTTTATAGAGTCGATAGGACTTCAGACAAGAAGCTTTAAGAAACATCGTTTTGCTTGAAATGTATTTATGGAATAATATCAAGTTCTTGATATCTTCCTGTTATACAGCAGTTTTTCTTTTAAAGCATGTACTAAAATAGTTCTTTGCTTAACGTTCAGGGTACAGGTATGTTCAACGGGAGACCTGAGTGTCACCTTGGAAAGGAGCTCACATGACCAACCAAATGGATAGTGTCAAAGGAAGTCAGGTGCCACGTGACGAAAACTGCCCAACCACAGCAGAGACGCAATAGGGGTAAATAACGACGCTAAACATCCTACAACAGATTCTGATCTTTAGCTTCAGTATAAACGTTTAATGTTACTATAACCCCCATCCGAGAACACTCTACTTAAATCTTTATGTACAGCTTTATATATTTTAATAAGACAATTAATAACACATGACAGTATTTTTCCGTAAAACTCTTTGTACTTAATTAAGGAAATAAAATCTCTGAGTAGTCACATTTCCAACACAAGGGCTGATGCTAATCATTATTTAGAAACTTTCATAACAAGACTACTACACCGAAAAAGGAGTCGAAACTGATATATCGTCTTTAACGGACCCAGAATATCGTTGTTTGAAAACATTAAGGTTGTGAAATGCATCCATACGTTAAACTTTTGATGCATACGTTAAACAATGCCTCCATCGTAAAAAATCAAATGATATCATTATCAGCCGTTCATGATGGGACTCCTATGATGGGATATAGCTTTTTTACACCCTACAAAATGACGTGCAATTCAGTTTATATGAGATTAAGTTTTTATTGGACACTCAACTGTCTCATGATGGAATATACGTTAAATGTGCGTAAATAAGAACAAATGGTATTTACAACGGTTGGGCAAATTCAGGACAATAACTCCTTCCCAAAGTGCGCCCTACAGTTCTTAAGTGCATGCTGGAAAAAGTGTTAATTTAACAACATGTGAAAAGAATGAGGAGGTTGGACACAAAAATGAGAGAGTCTGTCTGAGTTAGTGGGCAGAATCGCATCATATTTTACTTTAAAAAAAATTGCCAATCAGAATACTGTTGAAGAATTATAACTCTCAATTAATACTCAGTTGCACGCTTCTTGGTACCTGTTGTATGCTTCTTCCCAACGTCAATGTACTTCGCAAGTCTGGTTGTCAAATTAATGAAGCTCATCACCACTTGCCAACAGTGTACACGAAGTTTTCCCAACTTTAAATGAGCAACAGTTGTTGTCGATGTCAAGCCGGGACTTTTTGTCTCATTCCTTGACGAAATTTTTTTGCCGCCGCCCTATAATGAACCTGTTCACTTTTTCCTGGTCAGAAGGAAGTTGTTTTCGTAGAAGTAGGCCACACCCCATGTTTTGGACCAGGGGTTCATAGCATCCACATGCTCCAGCTGTTCCACACGGCACACATCACCTGTTCAGAAATGAAAGAGGAGCTTTCACTGGTCATGCACAAATTCCTCACATAGTTTACCCATCCCTATTGGTCGACCCGGGCCCATTGTCACTGCTATGCTTTCATCTGGTTTAAAATTGCTTCATCGCACTTTCTTCCCTTTAATAACAACACAGTGAATCGTCTAAAACCTCGAGAGGGCGTCCTGTCATTCAGCAAAGACCATATTAGAGAAACATTTAAAAGAAAAAACCCTGTCGATGAATTTGGGAACGTTATCTCTGTACAGTCAGTGAGGCTCCAATACAATAATTATTTTGAAGTTTCCTTGTCTCGCTTGCCCTATGATGTTCTCAGGTCCACTTAAATTTTCATTAGTGTTTCGAATGAGACTGCGTTGAAGGAACAAAGGAACGAGTTTGTGTCGGGCTTACCAAACAGCTGTGTAATTTCCTCTGGGTCGATGTTGTGCGGTGGCCCCGAAAAGACATCATGAGGGACTTCGAAAATGTCTAAAAGGTAACGACTGTCGGGCTTCAATACATCACTGATGACATCACAATATCTACAAGAATAAAACGACACTTATAATCAAATTTATGAAACAGAATTCTCATAGTACATGCCTTCTCTCATTATCAAATGCAATGACGTTGTCTCTCAATTTGTTCCGGGATTGATCTCAAATCGCTGGATAAATTATGCAGCACTAAGACATAAGACAAGTGCATGTTCTAAATGTCAAACGAAAAGTTACCGAAGCATCATACTAGATATATCCTGCTAAATGTTAAGAACTTATATTCTGGCATTTGTCTTTGTCTTGAGTGACATAGCCTTTTTTCATTCATGCATGCAATATGTATAAAGTTTGCTTTTGCTTTTCTTTTTACCTTTGTATCAGTGATTACAAATTACAAAAGCCACCTTCTTTGGCATACCTCTTTCTGTCACTGGGGTTAATGGCTGCCATGGAGCCTCGGTCCCAAATGCAGTCGAACTGGCCGATGAGGGCGCTCGAGAGCTTGAAGAAATCGGCACAGTATATGGTGATGTCCTCGTCTTTGCCCTGTAAAGATTGAGCGGATCAAACAATAAATATTCACTGAAAATCAACATTGTGTCTGCATTTCAAGTTGGCTCTCATTTCTTTCCCCAAAAGTAAATGCAAAAGATTGGGACTGGAGCAGGATTAGGATCAAAACATCAGGTCTCCCTCTACCTTGTTTTAACGTGGACTTGGCTTTGATTTAAAGAGAGTGCCAGCGACGGATTTACCTTATGCAACACATCAACCACATGAAAAGAGTTATTAACAAACTGGTTTCGCACGTCATCACCTTATACACGGTTCCATCTATGTCCTTCAGCGTTTCAGTTGTATATTCCAATTTGTTTTCAACAAAGAACTGTTGGACTCCCAGCTCCACGACATCGCAACCTACAACTCCACAACCTTGTTCTAACAGCCTGCAAGAAAACAAAACGTATACCTGAATAAGTCCTGCCTGTTTGGATAGAAAAATGATGCCACTGGTTGTCGAATTCCTAACAAAGGTCCAAACACAAAGAGCCTGAATAAGTTCCAGCTAAATTTATAAAGTGTAGAGTCGGAAAGGCATGACTCAAACGATTGTTTTCGTCTAAAACAAACCCTTGAACCACCAAAAAAGATACCAGTGGCGTAACCTGGCTCTTCGAGGCCGGGGGAGGGAGAGCCTGGAGAGGAGGACAAAAGTTCCTAGGGGGAGGGTGCTGTCGCCCCTGGTTTCACAGCCAGTCTCTTCTCAGAGGAAGGCAAGGGGGCAAGAGGTCCAACAGAGGACAGCCCCCCCCCCGATTCGCCACTGTCACAGGACCGGCAAAGCCAAGTTTTACAATAACAATTTAACGGTTGTCAACATTACCGTTTCTACAAATGCACGAGTTGACAAGATGCTGAGATGATGTCCGGTGAACGCTTCATGATTCAAATGCAACTACCATTAAGAAAGTAAAATAGTTACCAAATCATATCGAGCGTCTTTCCGCAGAGGGGAACTAGGAATCTTGGCGCATCTCTCCCTTGGACGAGTCGTTGGTAGTGCTTTTTCAACATACTGTCAAAAAGATGTGATTGACAAAAACGTTGTTATGTTCTCTTTTAAAGTCAAGTACCAGACTGGCGAGGTTGTTCGAATTACTGTTAACAAAAAAAATGGTTAAAAGTGTGCTGCAATAGTCTGAATAATTTGTCCACTAATAGCTAACTATACCAAGCAAACCAATAAGAAAATGGTAACAGTTTCAATTACAAATTTAACCTAAGGCCCCCAAAAGTCTCCGGTTTCTGGTCAGCGCGCGCGTCGCCGCAGACCTCCGCGTCGGCAAAATAAAAGCGTTTTTCTATTTGTTGTAAAACGGTGTCCAAAAGCTGTTAAACTTTCTTAATCGACTGAAATCCTGCCACTGCGTTGTTTTAACGTGTTTTGATGGGGTACGTTTGAGTAATATGTACAGTGAAGGAGTCCCGGCCCTATCCGGTTCGTAAGTGACTACGTCACAAAGGAAGAAGCGCCACGCTTTACAGGCTCCCATTGGACGATCGCTGAAGTTGCGCATTAACTTCCGGTTCCATGGTTCCATTAAACGACGATCAATACATATCACTCTATGGCAGTGCATGTGCAGTGGGCGTCGTTCAAACTGAGGTGACGTCACACTTACGAACCGGATAGTTCTCCATACATTTAGTCGGGCACTCTTTTTCAGATTACGTCATTTCTGTATTATATATTTACATCTGTGAACCACACAAACGAGGTGGTCTTATGTCCTGTGTACATGTACAAGCTGAAAATGGTCACAGTCTATTTTAGTGTCGGTAGGAGCCGGCGTTACGTGCGCATGCAGTCGCGATGCACATCGCGCGTTATACATTCGTCATTTCCGGAAAAAAGTGAGGGTAAAAAAAACCATCGCGTCACTACACCACTTTTGGGGCAATATCCTGACCAGAAAACGGAGACTTTTTTTGGGGGGGGGCCTAACCCAACCAAACCCTATCCGAAAAATCTAACCTAACCTGTGTAAACCCAGCCTTACCAAACTCAACCCAGGCAAACCAAGGTACACATTTATTTTGGCCCTTTGCCTAAATTACGGCTATCAAACAAAGATGATTTATAAAGAACCTTTTCTGAAATAACATTCTTCCCTGATCCTCTAGTTGGTGGACCATCCACTCACCCGTGAACTTGTGTCTTGTGGAACTTTGTCTTTCCTCTTTCCCACTTTGTCTTCCAGTCGTCCGTCGTTAAGTAGCCGTCTGATATTTCGCCGTCTTGGTTTCTTCTAATTAGCGCGGCAGACGAAGTTGGGTGGTCCTTCTCCTCATTATTCACATCCTGGTGTCCATTCTCGGCCACCCTGAAATTCTCTGAGGAACACGCAGTGGCGCTCTTCCGCCTCTCCGTTGACTTTGCCGTCGGGTGGCCGTTCGCGTTCACAGCGGCTGCTGCAGCCGGTTTTGTTGGCTTGCAGCTCTCGTTCGCTTGCTGGGGGCCGAGTTTGATTCTCTTGGCGCTGACGACGCCCTCGTCGTTGCCGTTGCAGAAGCCGTTTTCCAAGGGTGCGGCTACTGTGTTCATGGTGAAGTTTCAAAGAAGCGAACGAAGTCACGATAAAAAACTAATCTGGAAAAGGAGGGAAAAGACAACATATTATGAACAAACGTCAGATCGACCCGAGTACGTAACGTACTACCTCGTACCATTCTATTTCGGGGAATTTTCCAGGCTTACATTTGCCAGGCTTTGCTTACTAAGCAGAAAAGTTTCTGAGCGGAGAAAATTGGTGTCATGCTTCACAATAGTCGATAGGAAACTTGGCACGCGATTTCTAGCAGAGGGAAGCTGCATTGGATTATCTCGTTTTTCCCAAACGGGCGTAGAACTGATCAGGAGGGAAAATTGCTCAAATTGAGGCATGTAACGATGAGGATTGGGGGCACTAGTGCCGATGTCATGGCAGAAATTGTGTTAAAGTCGAAGTGGTGCTTTTGAAACAGGGAACACGGCCAATAAACTGGAGGTGCCTTTGTTCAATAAATATCCAGAGGTGATTTTGATTTGAATATGCATCTTTCCTCAGGTCACTCAAAAATTCTACTTTTAGTTTTCCTTGTTACAATACAACGAAGACGATTACATATTACGAACATAACATTTCCACCACAAACAGCCTTGGAAATCGACTTCAAAGACAGACATCAATGTCTAGAACATCAACAGTAACAAACTCGACAAACAGTACACACCACCAGTAAGTCTATTTTTGTGCTTTGTAATATATATGTATTTCCTCTCTAATCATGATTGTGCATTGGGGGAGGGGAGTGCCACCTCGGCACTGACTGTCTTTGGTTTTTCTTATGTCTGTTGTTCACAAATAAAGATTTAAAAAATCAAAACGAAAAGAAAACTATACTACGCTTGGTCACAACACACAGTATAGAGTGCCTCATTTATTTGATAGACGAACTGTGTTTAATAGATGATTAACAAGCGCAGTTGTCAAAACAAAGGCCAACACTGCGAAAGTATTATTAAGTTCCACACTACGAAATGCAATAACATGGCCAGTGTTTCTTTTGTGCACGCCTCCGCGGGATGTCTGCTCTGCCTAACGACAAGCGCGACACAGCCATCTAAAGTAATTTCCTACCGTATGTTTCGTGCCAGTTCCGCGAAACACAAAAGCACGACCCACAAAATCAATATCGCAAGGTGCACAGGGAGTCCACGAGGCGCCACCAATGTGGCGGTGAAATGCCGCAGAATGGTTGCAGCTGCGGGCTTCCGTGACAGTGGTGTTTGTTTTCCACAACACACGTTCCCCCTGTCTTCGTTGGACATTTTCCCAACATCTTTCGTCTTAAGGTATAGGTTAATTAGCGCCTGAGAATTTTCCAAGGGAGTGACACTGAAAATTAATTGTACAGTGATGGATTTAAGGAAGTAAAAATGAACCGTTGAACATTATGAGAAATCCCTATTTTAGTGTGTCAGTTTACATTGGCGCAGCTTAAAACTCGAAGATTGAACCAAATTAATGATTATATATAAGAATATAAAGTTCTCCACATTGGGTTTAATTTGACTTCAGAAGACCAAGGGTTCTGAAGGGTTTTCATAATCATTTTCTTATGAGTCCTGCTTTATGAGCACCTGCACAGTCGTCTCAGTCTGGTTGATCGATATGATGTTCATTTGTATACCCTTTTTTATTTAATTTATCAGTTTAACTTGCAGCTGGATGTATATTTTATAAATATTATTTTCTTCAATTTTACGCTCTTTTTAATGAACAAAACAAAAAACCTTTAGCGAGTTAAATTTGAATAAAATCTGGTACACTGAGTTCTTTAATTTACGTGAACATAACAATTTGAATTCTCCATACTAAAGACACTGTTGACAATTTTTCGGCTATCTCCGGAAACCAGCCGGAGGGATTCCCCCAGTCTTGGTGTTTGTGGACATTGGGTGATACCGAGCCCTTGATTCGTAGAGTAGTCAGAATCACCGGGTTTGGTATCCAGACTAAAATTAATGTAAAAGTGCACCAGTCACATCTTTTACACCTTTAACAATCTATGCTTTCTTGGACAGCTGAGGGCGCTTTTGTTGTAATTCATCTGGGGAAGACATGGTTTGGTGCATAGTTTTTTTCTGTTACAATATAGTGAGACCAGATGTTACTAACAGGGAACCTTTCCGAGGATTTGATTGTTTTCTAACTTTTTCTGACTCCTCAGAGAAGAAAACCATTTGGCCGACAAAATCTTTAATTATTAGAGAGTTTTTTTTTGTGCACAATCCAATGTAATATAACATTGAGGTTTTCTTCCCGGGATGACATCATAATTTTCACATAAATACGGACTATGGGGCAGCAAAAAATCTTGTGAAATCGTGACAAAATTGAAACTGAGGTTAACTCAGACACATTTTGAGGTTTGTTTAAAAAGCACTTTAAGTTCAACTGTTCAGCTTAATTATCAGTTTGAATAAGCCCACCTTGCATGCTTTCCTCAACATTTCGACGACATACCGAATGCTTATGCGCAGAGAATCAATGAGGAGTGGTTTACGCAAAATTATATTGATTTGTTATTAACTTTGACACGTGAGCCAAATAATTTGTTATTTTGTATATGAATGAAAGTCAATACTAGTTTGGCGGCCACTGCTCGTCTAAATAAGATTGTGAGGTGAAAAACGAAAGACCTATCGACGGACTGTTGATGAACAAAGGCAAATTACACATTTATTGAATCATTAAACTTCAGATCGACTTATCGTTTGGTAGCCATTGATTCATGATTACCCTCTTGAAAGACGACAATGATATGATGGGGGTTTGTTCAGCTGATGCTTTCCCTTCTTTCGAAAGAGAGTTTTTTTTTCGAAACAGGAGACACACTCCTCTTAAATTATCCACCTCAATATCAAAGTGGGAGTAAATTTGAATGTGAAAGGGCACTTTGAACGGGGGTGTTAAAGCTGTCGGTCAGCTACTGCGGTAAAACCAAAATGTAAATGAGGCAGCGCGCGAGAGCTGAGGCCTTAACAAGATTGAAACACCTGCCTCAGACCAACTTCTCCTCTAACTTGACTTTTATCATAAACCAGGAAATCTGGTACTTCACCATCGGCGGGGCCTGAGGTCTACGCGTGGGAGCTTTTATGTTCCCCCTCCCATACAGCGCAGGCACTGCCGTGATTTCCCACGTAAAGGAGTTGACATTCAAACCATTATATACAGTACACGATATGCACTCGAAATTGGCAGGCAGGAAGGGATAGTCAGGGGTTTCAATTTACTTTCTCTCCAATGCGGAAAAATTTCTTCGCTGTCGAAAATGTCATCGCGGCTCCTTGGATAAACGTGGCGTGGGCCGCCGAGACTCGCGCGTCTGCTAAAGGCTCCGGGATCAGATGGCACTCCGGACAACTGCGGGCGAAAGTATTCATTTTGGGGCAAATGTGTAATGGCCCTTATTGGGATCTAGTGAGTTTTTTTCTCTGTATTTGGAAGCAGTCTCTCATTCTCTCTCCAGCGCAAATTTAAAGGCCAAAAGTGAAGGCTTTAAATTGCGATGAAAATCCGTAAATTGTGACAGGGAGATTGTTATTAGTACTGGGTTTGTCTTCGATATGAAACTATTCCTGACATTTGACAACATATTCCAAAATTAGTCGAAATTTTCTGGCTTGAGGGTAAAATTTGTTTTCCTAAAATTGATGGATTTTATGACGACTGACTGACAGCACTGTCTTGACTTAGCAACTTACCGACGGACCGACAGACTGACTAATAACTGACTGATCGACTGACTGCACTGTCCTGGCTGACCAACTTATTACTGACACACCGGACTGACTGATAAATAATTGACTGACTGATGACCGACTGACCCATGCACCGACAGTCTGATCGACAAATCATCTGATTGATGAAAGACTGACCAACTGCCCGACCAACCGACAAGGTGATGGACTGATCCAACAAGTGAGGGAGTGATCAACCAGCTAACTAACCGGCCCACTGACCGATGAACTGACCGACCAACCACCGACCTAGTGACAGAATGGATGGCTAAAACATCGACTGGCTGGCTAACTGAAAATATGACTATCTTATGAACGGTCGAACGGCGAGAGCGAAGAGAGTCCCGTGTATAACGTACAAAACACGAAGCCTTGCTTACTCAACCGTACGTTGCCTACATCACAGAGCAAGTCTGGTTACACGTTATGCAATGCAGAAAACAGGACACCGAAATCACAATGCACGGCTGTCGACATACCACAATGCAATCTCAAGATAAATAACTATAGCAGATGCATTAAATTCAGTTTCGTAACTTAAGGGAAAAAAGCGTTTGCCCTGCATTGCGTTTCACTTTTATTTATTTAATTTTTCAAATCAGCCTTTAGCCAGCAACAGTAAGTTTAACAAAGTATGCAACTGAATAGGCTAGAGGCGAACAAAACAGAAAGCAAACGAAGCGTCAATTGCAGCGCAAGAAATCTTAATGCTCTGGGGAAAAAATGAAACTTAAGGAAAAAACGGGAAAGTGGAATAAAGAACCATAAAGAAGCCAATAAAAACCAATGTACAGATGACCGAGATCTGAAATCATATCTCCAAACCCTATTGCTATTGCCCTTGTTCATTGTGTTCGCTTGGAAGTATTACATTGTTTGATTGGTTATATGAAACGTATAAAGGGCAGACAAATACAAACGAGAAATTAAAGTGAGGGGGTCGTATCGATATGAATTCGACATTACTCGGTACCTATCGAAACAGAAGGACCAGAAAGATCGACTTTGTGTCAACTCACCTTTAGGCTTTAGGGGCGCGCATGTACTCACTGCGAGTGTCGTACACCACAACAAACAACAATCGAGGTTCCCCTTCGCTAAGTGCGACGTCAACACGACTGATCGGTACACCTCTGATCCTTACCAATATATATACACGTTTGTCGTCTGGATTATGAATAAGGAGAATAACCTCCACGCCTGGTATGTCCCGTATCCGTTGTGTGATGACGTCTCCTATTCTTTATTTTCAAGGTCTGTCTGCCGCACTCGGCATCGGGGTTAAGTACATGTATACACTGCGTGTGGCACGTGCGCCCACCGATGCGCGGCTAGACGCTCAAGACACAGGTGTTTTTTCGCGAAGATGATGGGACGATGGGGGCGAAAGCGCTGTAATGGTGATGACGATGACGGAAAGGCCTGCATGGGTGGCGAGGGAGAAAAGCCGAACGGGAAATCGTCAAAAACACACCCACTGTTCGTTTTGGGTTTCTCTTTGAATGGGTTTTGTTTTCCTTGTGGAATTTTGGTTCACCTTTCAATATGTTACCCCAATAACGTTTAGGTTATTCTCATTTCTACAACATATTGTATATTAATACAACCATTAAAGCGATGACAAGTGCTAAATGTCGACACCGGTATTCGTGGAAACTTACGCGGGCATAGTAAGTCTCGGCGGGAGGGGGAGAATACAACCAAGAATACAGCCCTTAACTCAGCTTTTCGTTCAACTGGTAAAGCTGATCTTACTTCGGAACAACCGTGACTTCGACTACAGTTTAGGTTAACAGTGAAACGCCCAGGAAAAAGTGATTTTCCAATGTGGGGTTGCATTAATTTCATCTCTCTTAAAATGTTCTGCGCACGATGAAGATTATCTCTATGTGAAGCTGCATCCGAAGTTACGGCTGGGGCTGAAATTCACACCACTGCGCCTATGGAAGCCACTGCAGCCGCTTGTCACGGACGCGAGTGGCGTTCCTGGCCGCAGACGCCTGATTCGGAAACGGACTAAATGTGTAACGTCAAGTGAGAAGAACGCCGTCACGGTCCACAAACCGCACAGCAGTTGCACATGATTGGAAAAATATAATTACCCTTACAACATCTCATAGAAGTTATGTTTAGGTAATAATTCCTGGGACAGCAACGTCCGTCCCCCAGGAGCGGGAGCCGGACACAAACATCGACTCAACATGTTATGAAACCTTTCAAGGCCCACGCGTGCACGTTATAGGCAGTTCTTGTAAATGCCACATGTCCCATTTAACCAAATTTTCAATTCTTGATGTGCGACATTAAAGGGCATTTTGGTGTCCTTTTGATTTTGTTTTATACAGATGCGAGCAAAAGCTGGAGGTGTCATGCTAGGCAAACATCAGTGCTGCAGCAATATCTGTACAAAAATCCCCCCAAAGTGGATATTTTTCTGTTAAAGTTAGTTTAAATTTACTTTGGGGATACTTGTTGCTTCCGTTTTTATGACAGTACAATCCAGTACGGAAAGTTTCCTCACAAGTGATTTCAACAGGAGAATTTTGCTCACTACTTGAACAAAAACCACCGAAATAATATCGTCTTCCAGTGATGATATCACGGCTACCTCGCCTTCATTAGTCAGAAATAGATTTTAAAAGTTAAATCTTACATTTGTGGAAGGTTGTATATAAAGCATGTTCCCGGTAAAATTCACACTATCAACACTTCAATAGAACCTACACAACTTTTAACTCCCACACCTCCACCGCCCTTTAATATGGGATGCTGGGAGGGGCCAATTTCGTGCGCCCTGTATTGTGACAAGGCGAAAGCGCCAAAACTTGAAATGACTCCCTTACTTATTCCGAACGTTCACGGAGTGAAATGCACGCGAGGGGCGCATGCGTTTGTGGTAATACGGAAGTTGGTCATCGGGTCCTCCCCCTCCAAGAGTACTAGCCCCGCCCTTCGACAGTGTGTCTTAACTGACGACGAAGAGAAATTGGGCCAGTAAGCTTGATAAATTCTTACAACTGTATACCGGACAAAACATTTTTGCAAGTTTACCTATCAGGAGGAAATTCCTTGAAAGAAAATTAAACCGCTATAACTACTGTATACACGGCGACCTAAACATTCTCCGAATTTCTTTCATGACATTCTGGGGGAAAAATTCCCGACGATGACGCGTTCACGTTAACATGTTACGATTTTTTTCAACTCTTTTCCATTCTGAGTAGTGGTGCGAAGGAAACTCAACATTGTAATGTCCCCTACCGGCCTCCAAATATTTAGGTAATTCCGATACTAGTCATTCCTGGCTTCTTAAAGTAAAGAACCTCTTCAGAAAAGTAAACGAATTTAGTGTCATTTTGTGTAAGCGGAAGCAGGGATTATTTTAAGCGGCTGACGCCACAGAACACGGCACTACTTAAGAGACGGATCTTTTTGTTCCTTCAGTCCTGTCTCTCCCCAAACCCCACCCCGAGCCCGTCCGCCCTTTTGGGATACATCATTCCCTGTTGCATGTGTAGCATTCTACGAACGAGAACAACCCATGGGCCTCATCTAAAATGTCCTTAAAAAAACGTCGCGGGAACATGATAAACAGGACAATTAACTGCCAATTCTCGTTTACGCGCGATTAAGAGCACACGCCTCCAAAATTAAGAGAGCATTGCGACCTTTACCCCGAAAGGCTCCCACCTCTTTTTGGAAGGGCTGGTTTCTGTGATTAAAAAAAAAGCTGAAAGAATATGGTAAAAACAAATCATGGATTGAAAAAAGGAGACTCTCCCAAATTTCTACATATTTTTTAATCCCAATGGACAAAATTGGTACATTTACTTTTAGCTTGGTGTCGTATGTTGATTTTCTTTCTAATTTCGTGTTTACCTTGTTTCTTATTCCCACTGGTTTGACTCTTGACTTTGTCTTTTCACGGGCACCAATGCAACACTTTTAGTCTCTCTCTTCATTATTAATGTGGCACACACTGTTTTAGCAGAATGCCTTTAAAAACACCTCACAGTCCCCGGCCTGAAATAGATTATGTGGCTATATTAATAAAAATCTGACTTCCTAATTGGCAAGCTCAGACAAACTAATTGTGACTTCCTCAGTGCGTGAGCAGTGTTATTTACACAAGGAGTTGGGTGGATTGCCAAAAACATAAAAAAAAACCACGTTTTAAATTATACATATCAATATTCTTTAGAAACGGAAAACGTAAATGTACTTACACGGCGCTGAAGTTCTCCGTCTTCGGAAGGTGTTGTTTTCTCTTCCAGCTCAAACTCGACCGTTACGGACGATTCGTCACACGCTATGCGTCGCTTGGTAATGGTGAAATAATGCCCGGTGCTATTTGTAATTACAAGTCACGCGACTGTGCGCAGCGGATGGGCGACTCTGGAGTCTTCGCTCCTCCACGTCAGCGGCACCTCAGGGAGGGAGGGCTCGGATTGGCTGGAGCTGGTCCCTCGCTTCATGCGCATGACGGTCGAGGTCACGGCGCAATGACCTTGGGGGCGGGTTCATCAAGACCTTGGAAGGATCAATTTCCCAGGGCCAAATTCATCGATACAGGGCCGCGTGTCAGCCGGGTGGTATCGCAAGCGCAAGGCGGGAAGTTCCAATATCCGGACCGGCAGAACAGTGCGCCAACATCTGCGTTGCCATGGGGATAACCTGATTACCGCCCTGACAATTACAATTTTTTTTCGCTTGGTGCCACTGGAGGAAATTATGTAATAGCCGATTTGCTCGCCAGATATTTATAACTGACTCTGGTGCTTGTTGCAAAATCGATCACATTACATTTTGCAAACACAGGATGATGGGATTCCCTCTTTTTACTTGATGGAAATATTGAAGGATTTGCACGCATCATGATAGCAACCTTGAACATTCAAGCGGTATCCAGGAAGATAAAAATGAAGACGTTTTCAGGAACTAAAGCTATACTCATACAAATTAATTGTTATTCTTCAGTCACTGAGGCACTTGTCTAATTTCTGTGCTTGAGTGAAAACGAAAAACTGACAAACCAAACAGAGAAAAGACATCCCAAATGGCAGGAATAACGCGCAAAGAACTCAATCTTCGACTAAGCTCGATGATCTCATCTCCAGATGGGATACAGGCAAAAGTGATGGAGGGGATCGTAGTTGAGTGACAGGTGTGAAAACGTTATCTAACTCTCCTCATAATTCATACATTCATTCGAACAACTGCCGGGGAAGAGCTAAATCTGGAGCCGTTGTTTTCACGCGCTCGCGATAGGGGGGTGGCTGTTCTGCGCGTCGCCCTACGTCAACCGACTGTCTGACTTGGTGTTAGCGGGCAAAATGCAGGCATAACAACACCCTTACACTATAGCGTACACACTCGAGTGGTTAGGAGTTCTTGTTAAGTGGAAAATCCAAGAACAGCAGCTGCTCTCTAGGTTGAAGTGGATTTTCTCCACTTAAAAAGAAACAAAAAATAAACAGACACTGCATGGCTGATTGAAGAGTACACTAGGCCTGTGTGAACAAGTCTCTTATTTAGTCGTATCACTAACGTACGTGTACAGTTTGTGTTAAACATTTTGAATTAAAAAGAATGAAATGATACGAAAAGAAGGTAATTCACATTGTAAGTTGAATCGGTGACGAAATGCACGCACATTAATGACAACAAAGGTGATCGCGGTGACAATAATGCATGGTTGTATGATTATGGGAAACGGGTGAGCGAAAATGCTTGTTACTGAGAACCGAGGAGACTGTCCTCACACAGTGTGCTGTCAAAATAAAGTTTCCTTAGCTGCATTCATGAAGTTGTTAAGAAGACAAACAAAATTCACTTCATGAAAAACAGTGCTGCTTATGACAGCAACGACATTTTGGGGCGACAGAAGAAAAGCACGGATCTGATTTTGGCTCTGTATATAAGACAATACACGAAATTTTCTCAAAACACATTGAGAAAATACCTATCGACGTTATAACGCACGGAAATCTTCTAAAGTTCAAGCACGAAATCCCGGATCCTGCTACACTGATGTGTACATGACATTGCGTAGGATAACTGGGCGGTCGTCAGCAATTTGTGGTCGCCAACCTCTATCCTCAAATAAGTTCCGGCTTCGCCAACCGAAACTTAATTAAGCAGCATCCGATTAGTGTTTGGAGCGACGTTTTATTAGAGGTTTTTCGGCGGAAGAGTTGTTGTTATACCGAGCCGATGTAAACTGGCTCGCGCGCAGTCGAAAAACTAACCCGCAGGCGAACACCTGCGAAATAAACTAGGATTCTAAGAAACCGATGGGTCGAGGTTTGGGATCGCAGCCAAAGATCAAACACTGAAAAGGATGCCGGGATGTACCCCTGACATGCAATTGCAAGCAGTGCTTGGTGTTGTGGGCGTTGACGTAACGAGGAGCCTATGACACCTTCTCAGCGCAATATTCTGTTGAAACACGCAAGCACTCGGAAACAAGTTCAATTTGGCTGATGGGCAGCTGGAAGAATCGTTACTACTTGCTAAAGTCACCAGCGATACTTTGAATTACCTGTAAAAGGTTTAAGACGAAATACAATGAACAGAAATACAACTAAGAGGCTTACAATGTCAAATAGGACGAGTTAGGCTACACAAAACTGAGTCAACAGCTTATTAAAGAACTTAATTTCCGCGACTCCTCACAAAACGTCAAACAAAAGTCAAAGTTTATACCATTGGGATACTATACAGTCAGACACAGTCTTGTTTACCAAGTGTTCATGGGAAAACACAAAATGTCACAGGCACAATGATAAACAACATAAAACAGACTGTAAAAAGAAACAACATCCCACACTTCAACGGAAACATCAAACACAACAACCCCAAAACAACACCGACAGAATAACTGCACATTGTCAAGTTTCTCCTTGACAGCATACCCCACTTTAATTGGGAAAAAAATGACTTAAAGTTGAGGAAGACATCCGGACTTTGGTGATATGTAAAAATAAACACTTCTATTATCAGCTGGGGAAAGCAAAGGGTTTGATATTAGATTTGTTAAATCACTGACATGAATCAGATTACCTTCAACGTTGTTATTCCGGAACCCATTTTGAGGGTAATAAAACTACCCAATGCCATGCTGGGACGGCTAAATAGCATAAACGTGATTTCTCTATACTTAATAAAATTCTTCTTCATTAACTCTGATTACTCGGAATCGCTGATATCTTCGAAACCTTGAAATCAAAGTAAATTGCAGGCAATTTATAAACGATTTCAAAATGAACTTAGTTTTTGACGCAGAGCTGAAATTTGATTTTTTAAAGGGGATGCACATTTTGCGACTAAGTTTGTGTTGTAAATTTTAACACAGATTTTGGGCTTCATCGGTGTAAACACTGTCAATTAAAGCCTTGAAAATCGATGTCGCATCTCTGAGGGGTCGGAAAAAGACACGTTTATTAGCAAATTGTAAACCAGCGATGGGTCATCAAATATCATGCATCTATTCAGCGCAAAATGGAATGTCGAATTGGGCATTTACAAAGTACAGAAAATACATGTACAGTGAGTAACTTATTACATGGTTTTGACTTTAAATTCCACAATGGGTGTGCGTCAGATAATTGCCTTTGATATGTGTGCCACAAGCTATATACGAAACCCTCCGTCACGGAACGACATTACTAATTTGTTTGGTACAACACAAGAACGAGGCCGTTCTGGGAACAACGTCTCGATGTAGCAGGGCACAGAGGAAACGTGAAAGATTCATTACTCAGGCTTTATTGCCAAGCCGGGACTTTTTACGCCCTTTGTTGTTAGTCACCTCACACAAATATGTCCACATCCCCGCAGCATTACTTGACTACATAATGGGAAATCCACGGGTAGTTATCCCACATTCTGATCACTTTTCCAGCTGGGATTTTCTCCCTTGCCAGCATGGGCAACCACCGACGACCTACTCCTTTTTCGTCATCCCACTGAATTGGCAAAGTGCTGAAGAGAGACTATACATGTAATGGTTGTCTCGCATGTCGACGCGCGCCGGTACTGGCTTGCGGACCGCACATAAATTCCGGGCCAGTATGCGGTCGCGCCGACGGTGTACATTTCGAAGGACTTATAGTGCCAATAGACGGCACTAATTTACCTTAATTAATATTTCCACGCGGGCAATAAAACGAAGGGTAACCGCCGGTTCCATCTGCGGTGTAGCGGTCACCGGGAATGTGCCCATCTCGTGACAAGGTCCGACGGTTATTGCAACTGGGAGTCTTGACCTGCTCGTGACCTCTGTCGCAGGTTGCTCCCGCGCCGCTTGTTCAAGCTGTATTTAGAGTAGCGACATCGGAACTGAAATGACTGTTCATTATGTGTGCAGTTCAGCATACAGCCGCTGTGTGCTAACAAGCGTTTTGCGAGTTAAATATGAATAAAATCTGTTACACCGAGTTCTTTAAATTCACGTGAACGTAAAACAATTCGAATTCTCCGTACTAAAGCCACCGTTGCTATACCTCAGGCAGGCAATTAACCTTTTGCTTAGTAGCATAAGAGTACACATTACCCCAAAACACTGTTTTCATCGGGTAAACCGTATAAGAGCGTCAACAATACGGGCGTTTCACAATAGTGCGCCTCCAAGAGTTTGAAACGCGTTGGCCAATCACATTGCGCAAAAATCTGTCGACCCATGCGTGTTTGGAAAGGTCGACAGATTTTTGCACATTGTGATTGGCCAACGCATTACAAACTCTTGGGGCGCACTATTGTGAATCGCTCGTATTGCGCCAAGAGTTGCGTATCCTTTGGAATCGCACCCAGGGCGATTTGGGACGACTGAACGCAACACATTACGTTATGTTGATGGGCCAATTTTCATGTCCGTTAAACGCATGAACGCATCGTGCACGCAACCCGCCCCAAAACATACATAGGCCTATGGAAACGCGCCTTGAGAAGAGCGCAAGGGAACCAGTCCATTCCAGAGATGGTGGTCGCTGTGCAAAACGTTTTCCCCTAATAACAACGTACATGTACAGCAACAGTGTAGCCTGGGGAATTCAAATTGTTCTGCTTACATGCAATCTGATAAGTCATTGTACCAGATTTTATCCACATTTAACTCGCAAAAGGCTTATTGACATCTCTGCTAGGTTGAATGTGAAAGTGCACTTTTTAAACCTTTAACAATCCATGCTTTCCTGAACAACTGAGGGCACTTTGTTTTACTGTTGACATACCTTCCACCAGGGGAAAGATGAACCACTCCTCTAATTTGAATTAAGAGATAATTATAGTGTAAAAAAGCAAAAGAAAGTAAACTTGCTAGGGTCTCCCATACTCCCTAAACCTTAAGAGGTGGTGGATGTTTAAGGGGTC